CTGCCTGGCTCTGCCTGCTTCTGCCTCTTGAGTCTTGGGATTAAAGGCATGTACCACCACACCCTGCTCAGTGATGTGTATTTTTATCATGCACAGAGAATACCAAAACTCCAAACTAGTACTATGTGTCAATAAAATAAAAATTAAAGTAAAATTTTAATATATGTGGTGGTTTGTGTGAGGATGACCCCCAATGGCTTAAGTATTGAATGCTTAGTCCCTAATTGGTGAACAGATTTGGGAAGGATTAGGAGGTGTGGCCTTGTTGGAGAAGTTGTGTCAATTGGGATAGGCTTGGAGGTTTCAAAAAAAAAAGCCTATGCCATTGCTGATTAGCTCTCTTCTCTCCTCCCTCCTCACCACCACCTCCTCTTCTTTCTTCTTCTTCTTCTTTTCTTCTTCTTCTTCTTCTTCTTCTTCTTCTTCTTCTTCTTCTTCTTCTTCTTCTTCTTCTTCTTCTTCTCTCTCTCTCTCTCTCTCTCTCTCTCTCTCTCTCTCTCTCTCCCCCATCTTTCTCTCTCTCTGTGCCTCTCACTTATGGATCAGATGTAAACTCAGCTACTGGTCCCACATGCCTGCTTGTCTGCTGCCATCCTCCATGTTGTGAGGGTCATGGACAAACCTTCTGAAATGGTAAACAAGCCCCAATTAAATACTTGCCTTTGTAAGTTGCCTTGATCATGGCATCTTTTCACAACAATAGGGAAGCCATTAAGACAATATAGATTCAAATAATCTCAAAGGTCATAGGACAAAGGGAACAGAGAACAATGAACAAGGTAGAACAATAAACAGAAAAAATATTAGGTTTGAGTATGAAATGTTCTTCAGGGGTTCCTGTGTTTGAATATGTGGTTCCAGCTGATGCTGTCTAGAAAATGGGATGTAGGTGGAGAAAGCAGGTTCCTGGCAGACAAGCTTTGAGGTTTACACAGCATGACCCTGCTTTAGCGCACGCTTTGCTTCCTGTTCTGCTGAGGCATAAGGAGGTCAATTGCTGCTGTCACCGTGTCACTGGCTGCCTCCATCCCTACTGTGGTGTAGGGATGTGGTGTAGCCTTTCAAACTGTGACCCAAGTAAGTCTTTCCTCCCTACGGTTGCTTTTGATAGGTACTCTGTTACAGTAAGGAGAAAAGAATGAAAGCAGAAAACTGGTTCAGAGCTGGGGTCTTTGCAAAGATAAACCTGACTATAAGGTTTTTAGGCACTGAGGACTGGTTTATAGGAAGAATGAGGAAAAGTATGGAGTTTCAGGCTGGAGAAGAATGCAAAATTTTTTTTTTACCCTATGATCTTATATGATAGGAGCAAGTGTCCACAGTTAAAGAATTATTTTGAACCTCAGAAGAAACTTCAGACTCTTGGACAGTATTAGAATTGTAAGACTCTGGGGACAATTGAGGCTGGATTGAATGTAGTGGAATGTTATGGTTTAGATTTACAATGTTATCTGCAGGGTAAGGGTGGAGGGTGGGAGGGGAACGCAGAGGGGAGAAGGGGAGGGGGCAGGAGATCATGAGGGATCAGGATGGCCAAGTTGGGGGAAGAACAAAGGGAGATCAAGGAAAGAGATATCTTGATATTATGAGGTTAGCAAGAAACCTGGCACTAGGAAAATTCCCAGGAGTCCACAAAGATGACCCCAGCTAAGAATCTGCCCTTCCCTTCTAAGCAGATTGATGACTCCCTTAATTGTCATCATAGAACCTTCATCCAGTAACTGATGGAAGCAGATGCAGAGATCCACAGCTAAGAACTGGGTCGAGCTGCTGGAGTCCAGACATAGAAAGGGAGGATCTATAATATGAGAAAAGGGTTCAAGACTGTGATGGAGACACCCACAGAAACAGCTGACCTGAGCTAGTGGGAGCTCACTGACTCTGGATGAACAGCTGGAGAACATATATAGGACAGAACTAGGCCCTCTAAATGTGGGTGACAGTTGTGTGACTTGGGCAGTTTGTGGGGGCCACTGACTGTGGAACCAGTATTTGTCCCTAGTGCATGAACTGGCCTTTTGGAGCCCATTCCCTATGGATAGATAGATACCTTGCTCAGCCTAGAGACTTGGTCCTACCTCAAGTAATGTGACAGACTTTTTGACTTCCCATGGGAGGCCTCACCTTCTCTAAGGAATGGATTGGAGTGGGTTGGGGAGAAGGTGAGGGGAGTTGGAGGAGGAGGAGAGAGAGGGAACTGGAATTGGTATGTAAAACAAACAAAAAAAACGGTTTTAATAAAATAAAATAAAGAAAAAAATGTTCTCTACAGGCTCATTTGTTTCCAAATTTGGTCCCCAGCTGGTAGTGGTCTTTTGGGGGGTTGTGGAACCTTTAAGACAGTTCTCAACCTCCCTAATGCTGTGAGTGACCCTTTCACACAGTTCCTCATGTCATGGTGACCCTCAAACATACAATTATTTTGTTGCTACTTCATAACTGTAATTTTGCTACTGTTATGAATTGTAATGTAAATATCTGATACGCAGGATATCTAATATGTGACCTCCAAAGGGTTGCAACCCACAGGTTGAGAACAATTGCTTTGAGAGGCGGAGCCTAGCAGAAAGAACTGTGCCCCTATGGGATGAGGCTCCTAGACTGATCTTGCTTCCAGCCCTTGTTCTGATTTCTGATTTTCCTGATTTGAGCAAGCGAGTCTCTGCTGCTGTGACTTCCCCATGGTGATCACATATTCCCTTAAACCACAAACCCAAACCAATCTTTTCTTCCTTAATCTACTTCTTTCTGAAACAAGGAGTGTAACTAATCAGGAAACCAACAACAAAAAATAAAACAATAGACTGAACCACTACCTGTTATAATAATTACATTAAATTTTAATAAACTAATCATTCTAATTAAAAGCAACTCTTAGGCAATGCTTTAATTTAGGTTTTTTTTTTTTTTTTTCCCTCTGATGAAACATCATGACCAAAAGCATCCTGGGGAGGAAAGGGTTTATTCCAGCTTACAGTTCAACAGCATGGTGCATCTGTCTCTAAGGGGAAGTCAAGGCAGAAGCTTGTTTACAGGTTTAACATATGGTCTGACATTGAAAGTACAATGTTCAAGCGAAAGGTCCCAGATAGTTAGTACCTACATGAGGCTGCATTTTGTAAATTTTTAAGCCTTCTTAAATATACCACCTCAACAAGTTTTAATAAAAGTCTAGGCTTAAAATGCCATGGAATATGTTCTCTGATTAAAAATAGAATTAAATTAGATATTAAATGTTATGTATCTGGAAAAAATTTAGATGGGTGGAAATTCTAGAATACATCTCAATGAAAAAAAAATCCTAGGGTAAAATAAAACATTCTCTTCAAAGTAAATGACAGTGAAAAATATAGTAATCAGAATTAATGTAATTTTACTCAACATTGCAATTATTTATCTAAACAAAAAACCCCAAGGAATTATCATCTTAACACACACTGAGTCATTTTAAAGCCCCTCAAGGGCTGGAGAGAGGACTCAATGGTTAAGAATTCTTCCTGCTCTTGCAGGGGACCCCAGTTCCAGCACTCAGATTTGCCCGTATGTAGCACATTTCTGGAGGGCCTCCCAGCCTCTTCTGGACTCCACGGGAACCCATACTTATATATTTGAGTTTAAGTCATGGTCCACTGAGCCCCAAATAGAATTGTTTGAAGTAAAATCGCCACACCAAGCTGCTGTGGTTTGAATAGGACGTGCTCTCATGGGCTCATGTTTCAGCCCGGCCGCCGGGCCGTTTTGGGGGGGGGGTTGTCTGTGGGACCTTCAGGAGTTTGAGTTTCACTGGAGGAAGTGGAGGCTTCATGTTAATGCTCTACGTCTTGAGAGTAGATTCAATGAGAGCAGTCAGTCTCCTGTACTGCTGTCATGCCTTCCTTGAGAGTGAGAGTAGATTCAATGAGAGCAGTCAGTCTCCTGTCCTGCTGTCATGCCTTCCTTGCCCTGTGTCTCCTACTGGGACACACCAAGTTTCTCTGGAACTGTAAGCCAGAGTAAACCCCTTTGCCTTAAGTTGGTTTAGTCATGGTGTTTTATTATAGCAATCGGAAAAGAAACGAAAGCATTAGGTACGTCCTCAAGTCCGTGCAGAGTAACACTGGTAAGAGAAGGTCCTGGCAAATTTTCACTGCTAAAATTTTGTATATTTTAACTAAGATGGCTAGTAAATTATGAAGATGGGCAAATTGTGATGTTATACAATTTCTGGGAGGTTTTTACGAAGTGGGGATTTAAGTATGTAGATAAGAATAAATCTATAACCAGGGGCATAGATACTATTAATGCTTTTTCAATTTTAAAATTTAGGAGTGTGAAGCAAAAATAATAGGTAGATGGCTATGGGCACAGCCCAGTGGTTGGAGATTTGCATAGACCACATGAAGCTCTAAGCTTAACACAATGCCAGTGCTGCCCCCCAAAGGCTAAAATATAATACATTCTAATGATCATCATTAAGCATGCATAGCTTCATGTTTCTTTCTCCAGGTCAGCCATACTCAGTTAATAGCAAATCAATACAGATTTAAAAGACTCTAGTTTGCCCTCGCTGATTCTCTGGATCAACTCATCTCTCTAGTTCCCTAGGTGTGACCTGCCATATAGTGGCCAGGGGCATGCTCAATGTCGGAAGAGGGCAAGTTTGCAGGATGCAGGAGAAGCCCCCTCAATGACTGGTTGACTTGAAACCAATTCTTGGTAGTTACTGTAATTGTATCCTCTAACCATAGCTCAAAAAATTGCCTGAGCTACACATGAAAAGATCGACAGGTTTATGTGTTTATGATTTAAGTAAATGTTTAAATTAGATATGCATAGCTTTAGCTCATGTGTAATTTTGTGTTGTCCTCATACACAAGACTTTCTATCATATCAGATGAAACTGCTTTACACTCATACCTTTGGATTCTAAACTTCACTTTGATTGTGACACATAAAAACAAAGCTATTTGAACTAGCTTAAATAGCTACTAAAGAGTCACAAACATGAAAATTATACCCACCTCAGTTTTATCCTTAAGAAAATGAAGAGATCTAGGACTCGGTTTTAGATTCTCTTCTTTTGGTCCTAAGGAAATCCAAACACACACACACAAAATGATTTTAAAAAACTACTTCTAATTTCTCTACAATTAGTTAAATATTTTAACATAACATTTTTATTGATTCTTTGGGAATTTCACCATGCACTAGGAATACACAGTTCCCAGTCTTTCCATGTCCCACCCCCACCCTTGAGACCTTCCACCCCCAAAAATAAAAAGTAAGAATAAAAATTAAAAAAATAGAGAAAAGATCCAAGTCCTATTTGTGTTATCTAAATACTCACTGGAGCAGGGTCAAAGTCTCAAGTGACCTGTCCCTTAAATAGAACTGACTCCTTCCTCTCCCGTACCCCCACTAGAAACTTTCGGTTGTGGGGAGCTAACCTCAGCATCCTTAGTACACTTTTTAAGAGTTCTTTGATGGCTTCCTGTTTAGGTTGCTACTTTTTGGGGGACAGTGGGAGAGTTGGGGTTGTAGGGGTTGTCACGGAAGCCTTCCAGGTCCCTCTTTCTCAACTGTGTGTCTGCAGTCATTAATATCACTGCAAAAGTAGCTTCCCTGCTATTTATAGACAATGGGAGCATGGATAATGGGCTCCTACATGGCTTCTGGTGACAGCACAGACCATGAACCTGGCCCCTGAAGCAGCCTGAGCCAAGGACATCTACCTGGCTTCAGGCAGCAATAAAAACCAGGGACATCTGTTGTTGGCTTTCAGCAGCAACATGGGCCATGGGTATAAACACAGAACCTGGCTTCAGTAAGACCCTGGACCCAGACATGACCCTGAGCAGCAGCACGGACATGAACATCACCATGGTCTCAGGAGGCAGCACAGGTCCCCCACATCAGCCTGGTCCTCATTGTTGTCGAGTCTCTAGTTCTGGATCTCTCCACAGAGCACATACCCTCTATATTTCCATCTTACCCATCTCTCCCTCACACATCGTGCATCTTCCACGGCCTCTCCTACTAGTACATTTTTTAGACATAGACTTTAATGATCTTATATGCTTGCATATGCAATATTTTTACATTTGTAGAAATAAATCTATTTCAAAATGAGTCAAATTCTTCATTGCATTTATTGCTTGATTTCTGTAGCTATGTATTGCATGGGTGCAAATAAAATAGTCTTGCATAACAAATAAATATCTGAAAATTATTTTCTATCATTTAAAACCTCACTTTTAAAGAAAATAATTTCAGAGGTTGGCAAAGGTCTGAGATAGCAGAGAGGTATCTGACATTCAGAGACTTTTATGAATCAAAGTTAGAAAGAGTATACTAACATCTCTATGGTACATTTGAAGTGTGTGTGTGTGTGTGTGTGTGTGTGTGTGTGTGTGTGTGTGAGAGAGAGAGAGAGAGAGAGAGAGAGAGAGGAGGGGAAGTGCAAAAGGTGATGGGGAGAGATACAACAAGGCTGACCCCCATCACCGGAAAGAGAGACCTAAAGTTTAATATTTATTTATTTTTAACTTGTATGACTGTTTTACAATGTATGTGTACTATGAATGTCCCTGGGGCCAGTAGAGGTTAAAGATGGCATTGGTTCTCCTGTAACTGATGGAGACAGATGGCTGGGAACCGCTATATGGGTTTGGGGAACCAAGCCTGGGTCTTCTGCAAGAGCAGCAAGTATTTTTAACTGCTGATTCATCTCTCCAGTTCCAGACCCAAACTTTGGCATAATTGGTTGTCTTTGTTGTGCTTCCCTGGGGAAGGCAAATTTCCCAGTTTACCATATTACCAGCGAAGTAAAGAGCACTTTAAGAGTTAAATTCCTGCCCCTGTTTGTTGGCTTCTGTACTGACAGACATCTTTAACCTCCAGTGTTCTGGTTATACTAGGCTCACAGAGGTATACCTTCAGGACCCTCAGTAAGTCATTCAGTCGCCTTAGAGAACCCAAAGTCTGCCTAAGACCAGAAGGTCCTGGAGTTATGAGATGGAAACTCTTTCAAACATCCAACAAGTGATTCTACTCAGGGATTTCCCATTTCCTGACTATGGTGCTTTCTTGATGTGGGAGTCCCCTCTGTATTCTGTGAATATCATTGGCTAATAAAAAAGCTGTCTTGAGCCTGTGATAGGGTGAAGTAGAGCTAGGCAGGGAAAACTAAACTGAATGCTGGGAGAAAGAAGGCAGAGTCAGAGAGAAGCCATGTTGCCCCACCGGAGACAGACGCTGGAACATTACCTGGTAAACTACAGCCTCATGGTGATACACAGATTAATGGAGATGGTCAATTTAAGGTATGAGTTAGCCAGAAATATGCTTAAGCTATTGATCAAACAGTATTGCAAGTAATATGGTTTCTGTGTGATTATTTCGGGAGTCAGAATCAGGCTGTATGGGACGATAGTCCCATAAAGAATGGCTCAGCCCCAGCCTGGCTGTCAGCTTCCCCTGCAGAAACAATCTGCCCAGGTACTGAAAGCAACTCATATATTTCTAGTCAAACCACAAACACCAGCTGTAACTTCCGAGTATCTGTGTATGCACATATATCTGCTCCCCAGGCCCTCTAAGGGCACTCCACCTTCATCCCATAGAAAAGTTGGGGCTCCTGTCTGTTCCAGTAAAGCATCCTCAGTCTGTTGATGGGGTCTGTCTGCTTCTCTGTCTGTTTTCTGACATAGGGCGATACTAGAGATACATCCCAAGAGGCCTTAGGAGGAGAGGTACAGAAGCAAAAGCGTCTACACCTGGCTTAGTGGGTTTAGGGCTGACGAGAATCATATGCATTTTCAGAATACAGCACATTGAAGATGCACTGACCCTCGGACCACACAAAATATCACGACGTTGACTATAACCTATATTTCACAGAGGACTTGATGAAAGAATTTACAAAACACTGGAGTATTGACATGAAATTCTCTTGGATGGCAGACATTGCCCAGAGTATAAATATAACAGTTGTGTACAGCTAAAGACATTGGTAGCCACATCCTCTTAGGACAAAACTTCAGGCTGCAAAGTCAAGGAGGCAGGGTCTTGAAAGGGAAATGAGCGTGCCTGCTGTGGAGATGATAGGCCACTGGAAATGAGTGTCTACTGTGGAGATGATATGTCACTGGAAACTTGGGTGTTCCAGGGAAAAAGAGATGCTAGAAGCCGGAAGTCCTAGCTGCCCTGGAACCTGGTTCTGAGGAAGATGGAGGAGGCCTGCGATTCACGGCTCAGACAGCCAATTATATTTACTCCCCCAGAGTCTCAGGTAAAACTCACAGAGACGCGGCATCTTTTGACTTTGCTGGTGGATATTGGGGCTAGTTAGTAATAGATCATCTGATCACAATGCCCCCCCCCCCAACGAAACAGGATGGCAAGCAATCCTGATCACCTGTGGTTTCTGAAATCTCTGAAATATACAAGAGACAGGGCTGGATTCTGTAGGTTTTGGTGGTGGTGGTGGTGGTGGTGGCGGCGGCAGCGGCGGTGGCGGCGGCGGTGGTGGTGGTGGTATGTGTGTTCTCTTAAACTGGGTCTTCCATACTCCGACCTTGGCTTTGCAGCAAAGGCTGGCCCTGAATTCTCAACCCTTCAGTCGCTACCTCTCAAGCACTGGGATTCCAAGCATGTGCCACCGTATCTTGGTGAAGGAACACAGTTTTGACTCACACAGCCCTCTTTGGGGGAAGGATCACTAAGTTGCAGGCATAGATAATTTAGTTTTTCCTAGAAGGCCAACAGTTCCACCTACAGGCTCCTCTGGAGCAGTGGTTCTCAACCTTCCTAATGCGGTGACACTTTCATACCTCATGTGGTGGTGTCCCCCAGCCACAAATTTAGTTTCATTGCTACTTCATGATTGCAATTTTACCACTGTCATGAATCGTCATGTAAATGTCTATTTTTCTGATGGTTTTAGGCGGCCTCTGTGAAAGGGTCATTCAAGCCCAGAGGGGTCGCGACCCACAGGTTGGAGAACCACATGTTGAGGTGGAAGTTGTCCGGCAGGCAATGCAGGCTAGCAAGCTACTGACGCTCATCGCACGCTGACACTCGTTCCCATGTTTAACTGGGCTGGATTTGAGCCTCAGTATTCTGCTTCCACCACAGAAAAAGCTGTAGGCTGTTTGTCCTGGCTTGATTTCTGTTGCTGGGATAAAACACTCAGAACAAATTCAACTTGAGGAGGCAAGGATTTATCTGGTGTATACTTCCTGGACACCATCCATCACTGAAAAATTTGGGGCAGTAACTCAAGCAAAACCTGTGAGAATTCTTCTTGCTAGCTTGCTCTCTGAATTGCTCACAGACTTCTACTTACCTAGCTTTTCAAATATATATATATATATATATATATATATATATATATATATCCATTACAGTACCTGCTTAAGCAATGGTGCTGCCCACAGTGGGCTGGACCCTTCTGCATCAATCAGTAATCAAGCCAATACGGACATACCCACAAAAAGCCAATCTGATCTAAGCAATTTCCCTACTGAGGCTTCTTCTCAGATGGCTGGCTCCAGACTAATCAGAACACTGGAGGTTTATGAACCTGGATAAGACAACTGGACAGGAAATGAGAAAGGAACGGCATTCCTCCTGGCCTCCATGGCGGGACCAATGGTTAAACAACTGCATCAATTAGTTTTTGAAAAGTTGCTACGGTAAGCTGTGGATTACAGGGCCAAGGTTATCTGAAGTCATTTGGAGAACATAACATTAGCTAGATATATAACTTCTCTTAAAGAATAACACAAAGACTGACCTCAACAAAACAGATTTTATACAGCCAAGGCCAAGACCTACCCCAGGACTGGTGAGCCAACTTTATTCAAAGACCAAAGCTAAGAGAGTTCAAATACGTGCTGATCTGTGTTGCTACCTTTTCAAGGTAGGTTGAAGTGTTTCCCGCATAGACTGACAAACCAACAGAAGTTATTAAAGCCCGACTGAGAGAGGTTACCCTCCATTTTTGACTGTTTCATAACATAATGATAACTGTCCTACCTTTGTTTTTGAGATAACACAAAAGGCAAACAAACACGAATCAAATGGATGTTACCTATATCCCAGTGGCCCTGGACCTCAGCTGAGGTAGAAAGGATGAATCATACCCTGGAAAGGACAATCTTGAAATTGTGCCCTGATGCACCTGCACTGGGACCAAGCCTTACCTCTTGCTCTGAGAAGGGAAGAGCAGCTTCCCTAAGGTTCCCTTGACTTGAGCCCTCATAACACTGTTTATAGGCATTCGCTCCAGACCATGCTCACACTGGGTGGCTAGAAAAGACGGTGGGGATGGAAAATCCAGAATCATGTTTGCAAACGTATCTAGAATGAATGCATGTGCTAGAGATTCTGCTGTTGGTGGCAAGGTTCTGTTGAAAATCAGAAACATGGGCTCTCTGGGAGATTGAGACGTGGACTAGCCCATGGAAGGTGGTTCAGTTTGCTGGAGTTAAGTCTTGACTATACAACACAAGGTAAAGGCTACGGCAGAGACTCACAGACATCCAAATGGACAGGAGGTCTGAAATGGACTCTGCTCATGAACAGCACCAGGGGCTAGGAAGGCTCACAGGCTGTCCCAGAAGGCGCAGCAGATTTATGGGTGTGACGGTTGACACCGGTTGTCAACTTGACAGGATCCAGACTTACACGGGAGACAAGCCTATGAACATGCTTGTGTGGAATTATCTAGATGAGGTTAACTGAGGTGAGAAGACCCACCCGTTCCCTGGCCTGTGATCCTGAGCTACATCCATGGGGAAAAGGGAACGGCATCCTTCTCCCTGCCCCTGTCTACTGATGCAACACTAGATGCCCTAAACTTCTCCGCCATGGTGGACTGTAACCCTGGAATTCTCAAGCCATTTTTGTCCGAATATTTTATCACAGCAACAGCAAAAGTTACTAACTCGTGGTGCAAGACAAAGAGGGCCGCTTCCCACACACTAAACTTCGGAGTGTAAAGCACACTAGTAGATCACTCACTTCTGACCATGCATATACCCGTGGACACTTGTGAGGCCACTTCAGGACTCTTACATGGAAACTGAGCATCTTAGTCTATGGTAAAAGCATCTTGGGGCTATTGGACAGAAATGAGGTCAAATTGGGGAAGCAGCCCTGGAAAATGGGCTACAGTAGATTGTTTAGTACTGAGAGGTAACCAAAAAGAATGCAGAAGGGTGCTGTTTTTTTTTAAATTTATTTATTTGTATTTTATGTACATTGGTATTTTTGTCTGCATGTGTGTCTGTGTGAGATGTTGGATCCCCTGGAACAGGAATTACAGACAGTTGTAAGTTGCCATGTGGGTGCTGGGAATTGAACTCGGGTCCCTCTGGAAGAGCAGTCGGTGCTCTTAACCACTGAGCCATCTCTCCAGCCCCAGAAGGGTGCTGTTTTAACCTGACAGGTAAAGCTTAGTTGGCTGGACATAAAGCTAAAGCAGCCGATGACACTGTCATCATAAAGAATAGAAGAGGACTCCAGTGTCAGCCTTTTGTGCCTCCTGGCTCCCAAGGTTTTCTGGCCTCAGGGCAGCCTTCCTGCTCTTCCCTTTGCTAGTACTCCCCTGAGCATCTGTCTGCTGCTGGAAAGGTGCTCTGACTTACACAGCCTCCCTTGCTGGTAAGACGCTCAACTAAGAACGATATGCCCAGCCGCAGAAGCGAAATTCCATGTGAAGCCGATACAAGTTATTATTAACAGTAGGAAAGAATAGGAGACAGATAGGGGAGCTTCCTATTCTGCAGTCTGAGAACACGTTTAAACTTCATAGCCTTTTCAGGAAAAGCAGCCCAGCAACGCACACTGCTAATGCTTTGTTTGCTCGGACTTAACCTTTAACGTAGAGAGAGTCTGGATGGTGACTCAGGAAAATCGCAGGACTTGGGAGCCGGAGGTGTACACGAGCTCCTCGCGACACAGAGAGCTGATAATGAGGAGGATGTGCAGGGGGCGATAAGGAGAGAAACATTAGCACCGTGAATCTCACAGACAAGGCAGGCTTCTCGAGCTGAAGTTCAGGACAAAACTTTGAAATGATTAATCGCCTCTGTACCGGCTGGCTCCCTAGACAATATACTAGTGGGAGCTGGCTCCAGGCAGATTTCCTGTGGTTTCTGAGATTGCTCGCTCTCTGTAAAACAAAATAAGCTATCGAGAGTCTGCCTTTTGATTGCTATAGTGACAGACACACAATCTCTGGCATTCTGATTAGATTTTCAATAGCCATTCATTGCCTACATCTGTGTATGATCAAACACCCTGGTGATTCTCAGGTAAATCGTTCCCGAATGTATTGACTTAGTCAACCATGAGATTCCACCATCCCCAGAGGTAAGGAAGTTATCAGAAAGTATGGGAAACCTCTAGCTGAGATTCCACCGCTTGTCTGTAACCTCAGTGTTCCCACTGGTACAGTTGGAAAGTACCTTGGCTTATGACTTTCCTTTGCGCCTTAACTATGTGCCTTCAAACATACATTGATACATTGAAACATGTTATTTGGGGCAGTCGGAATCCATGTTCTTAGGCCCTGGGCACTCATTTTGGGTTAAAAATAAACTATTTTTATGTCTTTTGAATGGCAGTTGAGTTTGGTCTCAACGGTCTCAAAAGCTTCAAGCTGAAAATTGTAAGAAGGAGGGGATGACCCACTAATGGAGCCTGGAGAAGTTGAAGAAAACAGAAATGAAAGATGTTGTTTGGATTTAGCAACACCGGGGCCACTGGTAATTCTGGTCAGTGCCCTTTAAACTGAATAGCGAGGGAGGGATCCTGCCTGGAGTGGGCTGATGTTTAAGGAGGAATGGAGAGAGTAAAGACCATGCGTGGCATGTAAACACACATTTAGAGAATTTATAGGGCACCACACAGACGGAAAGCATTGTGGGGCAGAGTGGAGACAAGAAGCCTCCGTCCAGGAGGGTGATGACAGTGTAATCCACCAGAGGATTACAAAAGCAACAAGAAAGCAAATGTAACAGACACCTTTGAAGCCTCTGAAAATGTATAAAACACTTGGTCTGGGACCCCAGGTCCCTAAAATTTCCAATCCTGTAAGTGTGCTTCCATTAAACAAGCTATTCATACTTGACCTTTATTTTTTAGCTGCAAGAAAAGTCTTAGGGCTGAGTTGAAAGAGAAATTGGCGTTTCTTTCTAGAAGAAAGACAAATAGTCCCATAGCAGAACTATTTCCTCTAGGTGTGACTTGACCGTTGGCCATCATGACTCAGCAAGCGCTGTGTTGACACTCAGGATGACTTGACCTTCTGTGTGTAAGGAAGTGAGGATAATACAGTCAGAGTCTCTGGAGAAAGCTATTGATCTTCCTTCCTAGAAGAGGTGGAGGTCACTAGGCTCTCAGGTGAGATTCCAGTGTCTGTTCCCCTCACCCCTGCTCCTAGATACACATAATTTTGATCCTGTGCATACAGCCTGGGAAGAAGGAGTGCCAGCATATACAGAAGGTGGGAATGTTGACTGGGGGTTAGGGTTCTTAAGTAGCTGCTGGGGGAGGGACTTCCTGGTGGTATCCTGGCAAGAACCATCCACGTTCCTGTAAGCAACCCCTCACCCATGTATACTCATGGAAATAATCTGAATGGATTTTTGATTTATCAGACTCGACTTAAATGAAATTATTTTTCTTGGTCTGTTGGTACCCTGTCTGTCTGGTGTCATTGCTATTTCTTCTTGTCTCCCCCAGAAAAATAAATGAAACAACCATATAAACATAAAAATATATTTATAAAAATGTATTTGTGAACCAGGTATGATGGTATATGTCTGGAGTCTCAGTTACCTGAAAAGATGGGCCAGAGGAATTTCTTGAGTCCAGGAGTTCAAGTTCAGTCTGGGCAAGAAGGTGAAATTACATCTAAATGTGTGTGTGGGATGTGTGTGTGTGTGGTGTGTGTGTGTGTGTGTTGTATGTGTGCACGCTGTGATTATACAGTAGACGGAGGAGGATAAAGTAATTAATAAGTTACTACTTAATCACACCAGTAACTGTAAGGAGAAGTGAGTATATTACACACAGCATTCTCCATTGACTTACTTTCTTCATAGTTTGCAGCTGTGGCAAGAGCAGATGAATCTGACTCTTTAAAGTCACTTCTGTGTTCAGGCGTACGTTTGAAAGATACGTGCCTGGAAGAAATAAAAGTTACTCTGAAGGAAAATGATCAGAAAATTTACAAAACAGATATAAGCTTCAAATTTGGAGAAACATGCCCATTTTACAGATTGAAGACAGAAGACTGGAGACTGACTGGAGAGGGAAATCCAAGCGGAGGGGACAGGACAAACCTACTTCTAGGGCAGGAATGAGGGCACACGGGATGCCAGTATTCACAAGCTGACCAGGACACACATCAGAACTTAGTTCCGTGAGATTTGGCGGACAGATTTGAATGGAAAGTGGGGACATATGGACTCAGAGACAGCTCAAACATCAGATAGGATGACAGCACCTGTGTATTACGTGGAGAATTTCACTTCGAGCTCTTTATTCTAGGTATTGTAACTGTCCTGAGAGGAGCACAGATGTTCTAAGGAGGGAAACTTGTACCAGACTCCTTGAAATGGTGGACTCCGAGAAACTGAAATGTCTCAAAAAGTCCCATGCTGAGCAAAGGAGAGGACTGAAGCCTCGCACCAGCCAGAGGAGGAGCTGGTTTCTTAGAAAGAGACTTAGCACAGTGCCTACAGGTGGTCACCGCTCAGAGCACACTGGGGGAAAAGCAGTGAGGATGGGCAGGACCACAGTGCTTAGCTAGGCAGGCCCCTTGCCCTCTATTTAAACTTAAATTCCATGTCAGGACTCTCAAAGTGTGTGTGTGTGTGTGTGTGTGTGTGTGTGTGTGTGTGTGTGTGTATGTAGGAGGACTACATGCCCTTGGGCCTATTTACTTGTTTTCCAATTGATTCAATGTGGCCACAGTGAACAACCCTGCCGTCTCTGCCTCCTGTTGTCATTTCTTTATGGAGTACTGAGGATCGGTGGCTGAGCCTAGCTTGTTAGGGTTAGGGGAACCTGAGTTTTGACCCCAACAACCCTGGTTAACAGTATGATGGCTAAGTTTTTTAGGTGCCACTTTGACTGAATCCAGGACTATCTAAAGAACTGGCAGATAATTCTCTCTAGGTAGCTCTGTGAGGGTGTTTCTAGACTAGGTAGGTACAAGAGTTGGTGGACTGAAAAGGATCTGCCCGCAGCGTAGGCAAGTGCCAGTCAATCCTCTGGGATTCTAAATAGAACAAATCAACTCTCCCTCCTCCACAAACGATGCACTCATCTCTGGCTGTTCTTGGGTACCAGAGTTGTAAGCCCCTTGACCCTTGGGTTCCAAGACTCCAAGTGCTCCCACCTTCCCCCAGGTTCTCAGGCCTTCAACTTCAGACTGAAAATTAGACCACCAACCCCTCATATACTACTGTGGGGATGGTTTTGCTCAGAAATGTGGTTTGAAGCTTGCCTTATAGATCAAACTCTCAAACCGGAACCAAGCTAATGTCTGTTTTGAGACCATTTACAACAATGCATTCATTCTGTTTACATATGCTATACTCAACCTGTTGAGAATGAATTGGCCTTAACAAAGCAAAACCAAAACCACTGCAATCAGACTTACTCTGCTTTGGCTCCACAGAATAGCATCTTCCCTGTTTCTCTTTCATCGCCCATTCATGGCCCTGACCTCTAGCAAGGTGTATGTGGAAGATGTGGTGGCTAGACCTAAGACCATTTGCTGAAGCAACAGAATATTGAAAGCAATGCTTCAACCTCCCCAAGTGCTGAAAGCAACCTGTGACTACAGACTGGTGATGCACGGCGATATCTGCTTGTGTTGTGTGCTACTGAGCCCAAAGGGTCAGAAAACCAGTATCTTCCTTCATGAGGCTGCTGCTATATAAAACTGTTAAGACAGATATTCCTCATCCCTTTTCAATACCATATTTGTTTTGCTGTTCAATAAATAGGAAGAGTGAGCTTTGTTCAGGAGCAGAGATCAGAGCCCTTCAGAACGAATCTCTGCCTCCCTAGAACTGAGACGGAAGCCACTACACTGGGCAAGATTTAGTTTCTCACAGTATCAAATAGTCTGAGGCAAACAGAGCACTTTAAAACGTTCAGCAGAATTATGATAGCTACGTTTTTGACTTCTTAGGGCCACATGACTTATCTTCTCTGATCTCTGTTCCGGTCTTAAGCACAGATGGAGCAGCGGTGCCCTCAGATTCCATATGAAGATCGAACAGCAGGGGTGTGGTCAAAAAGTCTTTCCTTTGTTCAAGCTGAATGTTGGTTTTCTGCAATGAAGCAAAAATGAAAAAGAAATGCTCTTTCTACAGGCAAAATTCTGTATAGCAAGAACAAAAGTTAATCTCTCTCTCTCTCTCTCTCTCTCTCTCTCTCCACACACACACACACACACACACACACACACACACACACAGAGCACACAGAGAGAAGAGAATTCATGTGTAAGAAAATAATGGAAAATATTTCAGATTTAAAATTAAAGGCTGAAAACATTATGCACTAAAATCTGAAAAAAGCCTTGTCCCTTTACTGTGTGACATGCATGACACCTTCCCCATCCATTTAATAAAGCAGCACCCCATAACCATACAGGAGCCCTTCACGCCTTCCCCATCCACTTAATAAAGCAGCACCCCATAACCACACAGGAGCCCTTCCAACTCTAAAGTTTTAGAATTTAAAGAGAGACCTATAAAATTGCTCATTTCCTCTGAATTGAAACCTTCCTGCCTGGAGGGAAGAGGGAGGGCTGGAATACAGGAAGCTCATGAAATTTATAAGACTTGGGAAGCTGAGAAAGTTAAAGATTTTTCAAGGTCCCACCCTGAGTTATAGAAGTCGTAACCAACTGCTGGGGAAGAGGAGCCTCTTCCATGGAGCCACCTGCAAGTTGGGATGAGAACCCAGGGATGTGACTTTTATGTGTCATCATCGATGCTGGGTTGGGCTGTTTGGTGATATATGAGTTATGTATGCTCTCATAAGAAACCCCAATAAACTCATTGGTTCGCCAGTTTTTGTATCTATTGTCTGTGCTCCATCTGTGATAAGCAGATATTGGCTTGTGTCTCTCCAGAAAAGAACCAGATACATCTGTACAGGGACCACCAATCAAATATGATTTGGAGAGGTGATGAGTAATAAGACATGCTACTGATGTTGATCCATCTGAGGGCAGAGCATCCTTTGTATGCAATCCTGACATGGCTGTCTTTCCTGTGTAGTATGATATACTGAACTTCCTTTCTATAGTATCAGTTGCATGTTTCCTGTTATGGGTGATAAGACATGCACCCAGGATGGAGCCGTCTGAGAGCTCAGCATCCTTGTAAGATATCCCAGCGTGATCATATTCCTCTAAGTGAAAGGTGATCGTATTCCTCTTGGATGACTGACGTCTATGATGGAAGTAAGGAGATGCTCTTTAACTGGCTAATGAGTAAGATAATACATTACAATCCTTGGAAATGACATGGGTATGATGGTAAGGAGGGTGTGGCATCACTTGTATGGTCTGTGCATGTAACCAAGGTTCATCTTTCCAACCAGAATGAACTTACCCACATAAGGAAGAAAATCCCATGGGAAAAGGGCATGCAGATGCAAACCTCAGCACTAGCCTCTGATGTGGTAGAAAAGATGAAATAAAAGAATGAGGTGTAGGTGTTGACTTGGTATTTCCCACAGTGGGGAGCATTCTGTGGGAGAAGAGTACAAGCTAGATCTGTCATACAGCCCTCCCTGGGAACCAAAGTCTTAGAACCTAGGAGAAGGTTAGCGAGTGAGAAGAGAGAAGTGAGGGGCAGAAGAAAACCCTCAGGTCTGAGTTTCGACTCAAAGGAAAAACCCACAGTTCAGCAAGCAGATAGGAATCAAAAGGGTACAGTGTAGGAAACTCTGACAAGCGGAGGATAGCATCAGCAGGGAAGTCTTCTAGGAAAGGAGCAGAGTGCCCCACTACACTTTAGAGGTCAAGGCACACAGGGTGAACAAATCTATGTGCGGTAGAAGCAGAGAAACTGAGTAATAGAGCTACTCATTCCTCCGTCAGACCAAGGCTGAGGGATCTGAGGAAATCAGAGGGAAGCAGGTTCCTGATGGACTGGCACTCACGAGTCAGTTATTGCCAGCTCGGGGGCCCAGATATCAGGGACCGGAAGACAGCAGAGGCTAGGTAGGCATGACTGAGGGAAATGTGTGGCTTTGAGAGGCAATGTTTGATGCTCATTCCACAAAGCTGAATAGGAACGGATGTCAGATACTGAACTGGGTCTCCACCAGCCTTGCTGAGCTCCACAGTGGGATGCAATCTTTATGAGGAGGGAGCGCTCTGGCAGATCTGAATGACTTACCCTGGCAGGTGAGTTAGAATCAGGAAGTTCTACAACACTCAAGTGAAGAAAAAAGATAACTGGACCTGTCCACATTACTTGAAAGCCAAGGTGGCAAGATCCGTGTCAAGCAGAATTCCCTCTGGGAGATGGGATTGCTAGAGATCCACACACTGTGGATGGCAAGACACCAGTGTGAACAGAGTAAAATGCAGAGAGACACCAGGTGCCCTCTTCAACCCCTAGGTGTGGAGGAAGGAAATCCCCTTTGATAGTGTACCCAGGGTAATTGGCAAATGGTGACCGCAGGCTCCACATTGAACTGGAGATTTGCTGGCTCCTGGTTAATGTGCAAAACGCTTGTGTTTCAATGGCTACTGGAGCTAAGTATACTTTGGTTAAGGACAGCTCCCCAGTGTACCAGAGGCAATGGCTAGCAATACATGGATACAGGGACAGAACAACATGAGTGGAAATGATTAAGCTTGTCCTGGGAGTAGGCAATCATTTTTCCTTGAGAATATGCTTGTATTTATTCCTTGCCAGAAAGTACACTGGCATGGAGACTCTTCACTCAGTTCATAGCTCTTTAGCCAGTCAGGTATCACTGGTGGAGAAATGAGGCCTCAGTTCTTTCTTGGAGTTTGTCACCCTCACCCAGGGAGCCAGTTCAAGATGTGGGAATGCCAGGTCAATACATGAATGCCTTTGGTCCTGTTCCATGGAAATCAGCATGGATCAGGCTTCACAGCAGTATCAGCACCCTAGGATGAAGAGGCCAGATGCCTCATAGAAGATGACAGGGGTCAGGGAAAGCCAGATGAGGGAGCATTTCCATCCATACTGCTGGCAGTCAGCATTGCCTTTTTGATGAGGCAATTGGTTCACGTGATGGGATCTTTCATTCTTATAGGAAACCTTGTGAACCGGAAAAAAAAGAACACCTTAATTTAAAAAAAATATTTATTTATGTATTATGTATACAGCATTCTGTCTGTGTGTATGTCTGCAGGCCAGAAGAGGACAACACATTTCATTACAGATGGTTGTGAGCCACCATGTGGTTGCCGGGAATTGAACTCAGGACCTTCGGAAGAGCAGGAAGAGCTCTTAACCAGTGAGCCATCTCTCCAGCCCCCTCACCTTAATTTTTAAGTTCCAAGATTAATTAATACTTGCTTGGAATGAGTGTAAAGTGTTTTCAAATTACTACATATATATTCTAGTGAGCATTTTACAGATTTGCACAAACATTGTGGAAGAACTGTAGAAATACCAACCAAAGACTTTGAAAGAGTCGTGAGCTGAAAAGGCACTTCCAAGAGCCTATGAGTGATTGCCCATGGAGGTCCCCAAGACCACTGAAATGATAAGGCTGATGTCTGTACTGTGGATTGTCGGAACTGAACTAGGAAAGACCCTATGGCTGGAGGCGTCACACACTGTGGTTGCAGGACAGGGAGAAGTCAAACAGACTAAGCAGCAGGTTTCCTCCCTGTTGGAACTATAGGCGACCAGGCATCCCCCCTGCTGGATGGCTGTCGGAGCTATAGGCGACCAGGTTTCCCCCCTGCCGGATGGCTGTCGGAGCTATAGGCGACCAGGATTCCCCCCTGCTGGATGGCTGTCGGAGCTATAGGCGACCAGGTTTCCCCCCTGCCGGATGGCTGTCAGAGCTATATGCGACCAGGTTTCCCCCCTGCTGGATGGCTGTCGGAGCTATTGACAACTGTGAGCCTGTAGTATTCACTTTAAAAAGAGTTTCCAGGGATCAGAAATCAACTTGTTCATATATGCTAAAACTCTAGTATTTGGGAGGTATTATCTGTTAACTGTTTCGCCTTGAATTCTGAGTCCTGCCTATTTTAGTTAGCTTTGTTTCTGTATAGTTCAGTTATTCTTAATTCAGTAACAATGCCAAATGTTACTTTCCCTTTTTAAAATTTTATTTATTTTTTGAGGATTTTCTATACTACATTTTGATCAAATTCTTTCTTCTTACCCACTGAGACCTACAACTTCGTTTTTTCTTCCTTCCTTCCTGTCTTTTTTTTTTTTTTTTCCAAAACAGGGTTTCTCTGTAGCTTTGGAAACTGTTCTAGAACTCACTTGATAGACCAGGCTGGTCTCAAACTGCTTCTCCTTCTACCTCCTGAGTGCTGGGATTAAAGCATGTACCACCACCACCCAGCCTCTCTTTTTCTTTCTTTCTTTCTTTCTTTCTTTCTTTCTTTCTTTCTTTCTTTCTTTCTTTCCTTCTTTCTTTCTTTCTGTCTTTCTCTCTCTCTTTTTCCTTCTTTCTTTTTTTCTTCTTTCTTTCTTTTTTTCTTTTTTCTTTTTTTGGCTTTTTTGAGACAAGGTTTCTCTGTAGCTTTGGTGCCTGTCTTGGAACTAGCTCTTGTAGACCAGGCTGGTCTTGAACTCACAGGGATCCGCCTGCCTCTGTCTCCCAATTGCTGGGATTAAAGGTGTGTACCATCACCACCAGTCTGCCTCTTTCTTTCTTAAAACAAACCAAAAACCCAACACCAAAACAAAAAACACAAATAAATATAGAGTCCAGTTTGTGTTGACCAGCTACTCCTGAGCCTGAGGCCTGTTCTGCAGGGTCACTCCATTGAAGAAAACTGATTTTTCACTGGTCCAGCAGCTGTGAAAGCACATAGCTTTCCATTAGGGGTGCTTTTGGGACTTGGTGCTTTCGGTGTATCTACTAAGTAACTTTGTATACACTTAGCATATTGGTAACAACTGTGGGTAGCTGTATTTAGTGGTTGGGAGGCAGTACTTTCTAAAGTAAAGTTTTGATACATATATGACCTGGCACTTGACAGCTACCTAGGAGTGATCTTGTATAGTTAGCTTTTATCACTGCTGTTATTTTCTTTCTTTCTTTCTTTATTTTTGTGGTCCTGGGGCCTCCAGTATACTAGGCCAGCTCTTTCCAACTGAGTTACAACCTTGATTACTTAGTAAGTCTTTTATTATCTATTTAAATATATGATTTTCAACGGATCTGTTTACAGAGTTGAAAGACATTTATATGAAGATATAAATGAATTTGTCATATCAATGCATCATTAAGTATAAAGTAAAAAGCTTATCTGAAATGTTAACTTTTTACCGAGTACCCTAGTATTAACGTCCACTCCATCTACCTTTGCTCGGATGGCTGCAAGGATCCGTGCATCCTCATCCAGGGCCTCTAACTTCTGCAGGATTTTTTCCATCATCCTTTGTCAAGCAATTCCTGTTGAAAAGGGAGGAAGAAGAAATACAGGATTCAATTCAGACCAAAACACACGATGGATATTTAGGCAAAAGGGGAGAGTTCCTTTCTACTACCGCTCTGGGTATATTTCAGAGCGCCGTTGGCCGCACAGTCAGTCACAGAATTATACATGTACTCAATTGTTTTTTGAACAGGAAAAGCCCCTAGAACTTCAAGCTGTTATGTGAGAGCCAGATATTCTCCTATGAAAATAAGGCTGTGTGGCTGTCATGATATAATTCAATCCATTTTTAAAAATAATTTATTTTTGTCTTATGAACATTGGTGTTTTGCCTGCATATATGTCTGTGTGAGGGTGTTGGATTCCCTGGAACTGGAGTTACGGACAGTTGTGAACTGCCATGTGGATGCTGGGAATTGCACCCGGGTCCTCTGGAAGAGCAGCCAGACTTTTAACCTCTGAGTCATCTCTTCAGCCCTCATGACATAGTTTAAATGAAAAGAACGCAAAGACCTCAGCTTCATACGGTGAACTAAACTTAATCGGTCCTTTGGTGCACAGCACTTAGGAGGCACTGAGAAGCATCTAATCTGAAAATCCTCACTGGCATTCAAATGACGCGTGTGAGCTGGACGGGCATTAAAGTCTGGCCTTATTTATCCCAGTTATTGAATGATTAAACTGAAGGTCACACAGGACTACAAATGCTTACTGTTAGAATAGAGGCAAGAACCCAGGAGTACTGGAGGTTAGGGAAATGACTCGGTGCTTAAAGCACTTGCCAACAAGCCCGAGGACCTGAGTTCAGATGCCCAGATCCCAGAGGAATGCTGGCTGGGTGTGGCTAACCACCAGTAATCCTAAATCAAGAAGGTGAAAATAGGTAATCCCCAGAGCAAGTCAGTGGGAGTAGCCTTGCTGGTGAGGTCTGGGCTTGACTGGGAGATATTTTCTCAAGAAATAAGACAGGTGGTTCCTGGCATCCATCTCTAGCCTGCATACATATACCCACACGGATGTGCTGTCCCAACATGCATACACACACAAGTGAACACATTAACACACACACACGCACACACGCACACACACACACTCTTTAACAAGAAAATGGAAGAAAAATGAATGCAGCATTGGTAACCCAGTTACTCCCTCCTACATTTATGTTTTAAATTTGGACAGATGATTGCATGTTTTGGCTTAGGGAATTAAATGGGATCCAGTGGCGTTGAAGTGTAAAAATTACCATGGCTCGCTGAAGTCTGAGATCACCAGTGTTTATAAAGAACACCAGTCAGTGTTAACACTGAACTTCCTTCTAGCTCAAAAGTTCTTCCATATTTCTCCCATGTTGTACTGGACAGTAGCCAATCAGTATTACGAGGGGCAGCTATGCCTGAAACGCAATGGTTCACACTCTTTGGTACTTCATTTCTTTTAATTTTTTCTTCTTTTTTCCTTCACCAAATATTGAATTTGAACTATGAATCACCCCGTGTGTGTGCATGTGTGTAAAATCTCTATATAAGTCAAATAGGATGAATTCAGATCTTCTGAGATTCCAATTCACCTCTGCGTGAGCAGACTCTGATATTTACCTGGTCACACAGTGGACACAAACTGAGGTGTTTTGAGTGCAGCCAGGAGGCTGGGAAGGATGTTCTTCATCTTGTTGGGATAAGATCTAAAAATGTCGAAGGTGTGACTGAGCTGGTGGCCTAAGAGCTTGCATAACTGGTGTGGGTGTGTGCGCATGTGTGTGTGTGTATGTGATATGTGGGTGATGTATGCACAGTACATACATGAGTGCCAAAGGAGGAGGAAGTGAAGTGTCCTGCTCCATCATGCCCTGCACTCGTCCCTTGAGACAGAAACTCTCACTGCAACTAGAGCTGGACAGTAAGCCCCCAGGATCCCCCTCCTCTCCCCATGTCCCCAGAGCTGGACAGTAAGCCCCCAGGATCCCC